AAATTGCCCTGGCCAGTTTGGCTCAGCGGTTAGAGCGTCGGCCTGCGGTCCTGAGAGACCCGGGTTTGGTTCCCGCTAAGGGCACGTACCTTGGTTGCAGTTTGTCCCCGGCCCTGGTCGGTTGTGCGGGTGGCAGCCACTCAATGTGTTCCTTTCACATTGATGTTTCTCTCTCTCTCTGTTCCTCTCTCTCCCTGACACTCTACCTGAACAAAAAATGGAAAAATGTCCTTGGGTGAGGATAAAAAAAAAAAAAAAGATGAAAAAATTAAGAAGTACAAATTTGTTGTTAGAATGACAAACCTCAAAGGGAAGGGGGGAGAGAGGGCAGGAAGAGATAAACCAAAGAACTTCTATGCATATATGCATAACCAGTGGACCCAAACTATAGTGTGGGGAAGGCAGGAGGGGGGCAGGATTGGGGAGGAGGGGGTTAATGGGGGAAAATGGGGGGGGTGGCATCTGTAACACATTCAATGATAAAGATACATTTTAAAAAGTGAGGCCATTAAGGTGGAATTCAATCTAATATGACTGGTGTCCTTATAAGAGGAGGAAAGTTGGATTCAGACACAGAGAACCCAATGTGAAATCACAAAGAGAAGATGCTCATCTACAAACCAAGGAGACAAACCTGCACCTGACCCTTCATTCTGGTCTCTCAGAAAGAATCACTGCTCTTGACATCTTGATCTCAATGTCTAGCCTCCAGAACTGTGAGAAAATTAATTTCTGTCATTTAAGCCACTGGTACATAGTACTTTTTATGGCAGCTGAAAATTAATACAGACTCAAAAACATATTCCATGGATGTATTAATCAGCAAAGAAGTTGAAAACATTTCTATAAATAAAGGCCATTTTATATTGTTCAAAGATTCATTTAATCAAGAAAATGTAATAAATGTACATTTATATGTACCGCATAACAGTCTCGTATAAAGCATAAAAATGACAAAACTCTGAGGAATTAAAAATCCATGGTATCATTATGAGATGAAACAACACTTACTGATTTTTAGAGAAAGAGGAAGGGAGGAAGGGAGAGAAACATCAGTTTGTTGTTTCACTTATCTATGCATTCATTCACCGGTTGATTCTTGCGTGTGCCCTGATTGGGGACTCATCCTGCAAACCTTGGATACCAGGATGACACTCTGACCAACTGAGCTACCCAGCCAGGGCCACAATGAGCTATTGTAACATATCCTTCTCACAAATTAATAGGGTAAAATATCAGTAAATGCATAAAATATTTGAATAACATGATTAGCAACCTTAGAACACCACACTCCACAACTATAAAATGATTAACAAACTTAAAGGACCATATCCAACTATAAAATATATATTTTTTAGCGCAGCCAACACATTTATAAAAATGGCCATCCACTCAATCATAAAGCAGGCATCCAAATTTCAAAAAATTAAAATTTACCACTATATCAAATCAACAAGTATACTTTAAACTTATACAATATTTTATATCAATTATATCTCATCACTGGAAAAAATGAAATAATAAAAATTTGATGTCCTGGCCGGTTTGGCTCAGTGGTTAGAGCGTCGGCCTGTGGTCCGGAGAGACCCGGGTTTGGTTCCCGCTAAGGGCACGTACCTAGGTTGCAGTTTGTCCCTGGCCCTGGTCAGTCGTGCGGGTGGCAGCCACTCAATGTGTCCCTTTCACGTCTATGTTTCTCTCTCTCTCTCTGTTCCTCTCTCTCCCTCCCACTCTACCTGAACAAAAAATGGAAAAATGTCCTCGGGTGAGGATAAAAAAAAAAAATTGGAAAACTATATTTGAACTTAATTTTGCTTAAGCTAGAAATAATTAAAAAAACAAACATTTGGAAATTAGGAAATATACTTTTACATTAAGCACTGTCAAAATACAAATTGGAAAATGAGTTATACTGAAATAAGCTAAATGTTGAAACTTTTAGAATAAAGGTAAATTAGAATTTAGAGAAACAAATGAAAGAGAAACAATACCCATAAATAAAAAAGTTGGCTTTTTAAAGACATACTTTGTAACACTCTATTATACTTTCTTGACATTGATCAAGGACAAATGAGAACATACTTAAAGTAACCATCTCAGGAATGAACAGGTTGACATCACAGTGGGTGTCCTAGAGACTCAAAGAAAATAAAAACATATTATAAATCTGTGCACTATATTCCATCCCCTTTTGTGTACTTAGAGCTCTATCTGCAACAATCCTCTCTTCACTATAACATTGATTTTCTTTCTGCAGGTTTATTAGCATCAGCATACAAACATGCTGCTGTTTCTCTGATCGTAGGGAAAGAATGTTTTTGCTCCCTTCCAATGCCAGCTATCACCCTCTTTACCCCACTTTGCAGTAAAACGCCCCCAAATAGTTGTTCATACTTCCTGTGTGCATTTCCTTGCCTCTCATTCTTCCTTAAATACATACCCATCAGGCGCTCTCCTGACCCCGTCCCCTGCTACTGAACCTGCTTTTGTCAACGTCACTGAAAATCCCCACATGGCTAAACCCAATGGCTATTTCTCAAGGTGACCTTCTGGGCCCAGCCACATCAGTATTTGACGCAGATGGTCATGCTTCCGCTCACCTTCTTCCATTGACTTCCAGAATGGCTCCCCCCTTGGTTCTCACCTGCCTCGCTGGAGGAGCATTCTCAGTTTCCTTTGCTGACTCCTCCTTCCCCGTAACTCTTTGGACTGGAGAGACCCAGGGTTTGGTTCCTGGCCCTCTTCTCTCTACATCCAGTCTGTGGCGTTAGTCTTATCCTTCGAAATTCCCCTCCTGGGTCTCCCTTTTGAACTCCAGACTTGCAATGAGTATCCAACGGTGTAACGTATATCTCTATTTGGACGTTTAATTTCAAAATTTATGTATCTCAAAATGAACTCCTGAATTTCCCCCCATGAACCTCCTCTGCATATTCCCCCATCACAGTGGGCCGTGGCCAATATTCCACAGAGCCTCCTGGCTCTTCTTCACCCTCCCACGCTCAGTAGGCTCCACGTCTGCACCCTGGAAGGTGCGTCTCAGGGCTTCTGTCCCACAACCAGCCTCGGGCAGCAGCTGGCCCATACTCAGCAAAAGGCCAAAGTATTTACAGAAGTTCTCTCTTTTGTGGCTGAATAGTATTCTATTGTTAGATAAACATTTTCTTACTTCATCAATGTATTTAACACCAATGGATTCAACATCTGTCCTGATGATGGACTATTAGGTTGTTTTTATGTCTTGGCTATTGTGAATCCTGCTACAATGAACATGAGAATGCAGATATCACTTTGAAATAGTGATTTCTTCTCCTTTGAACATATACCCAGAAGTGGGGTGGCTGGACCAAATGGTAGATCTATTTTTAAATCTTTGAGGAACCTCCATATGGTTTTCCACAGGGGCTGCACCAATTTACATTCCACCAACAGTGCAAGGGTTTCCTCTTTGCCCCGTCCTCCCCGGTACTTGTTATCTCTTGTCTATTATCATAGCCATTCTAAGAGGTGTGAGGTGATACCTCATTGTGGTTTGGATTTTCTATTCTCTGCAAATTAGTGATGCTGAGTACCTTTTCATGTACTTGTTGGACATTTGTTAGTCTTCTTTGAAAAAAATGTCTGTTCAAGTCTTCTCACGGTTTAATTGAATTATTTATTTTTGTTGTCGTTGAGTTATATGGGTTCCTTATATAGCTGTATATTAATCTTTTATCAGATATATGGCTTGCAAATGTTTTTTCCATTTTGTAGGTTTTCTTTTCATTCTGCTGGTAATTTCATTTGCTGTGAAGATTTTTAGTCTCATGCAGTCCCAGCTATTCATTATTCCTTTTATGACTTGTGTTTTTGGTGTCATATCCAAAGATCATTGCCAACACCAGTGTCAAGGAAATTTATTTTTATGCTTTTTTCTAGGACATTTATGACTTCAGATCTTATGTTGAAACTTGTAATCTATTTCAAGTTAATTGTTGTGAGTGGTGTAAGATAAGGGCCTGATTTTATTGTTTTGCATATGGAAATCCCGTTTTCCCAACACCATTCATTGAGGAGATTATCCTTCCCCATTGAGTATCTTTGGTTCTCTTGTCATATACATCAGTTTATTTCTGGGCGCTCAATTTAATTCCATTCGTCTATTGTGTCTGTTTTTAGAGTAGTACCATATTGTTTTGATTAACATAGCTTTGAAATATAGTTTGACTTCAGGAAGTGTGATACCTCCATCTTTGTTCTACTTGCTCAAGCTTTCCTTGGCTATTCAGGGGTTTTATTTGTGGTACCATTTGAATTTTAGGATTGTTTTTTCCAATATGCTCCATCTACACAGGCTTTTCTGTTTTTCAAATAAACTAAGCTGGGAAAATGAATGTCTTTTTTATTTCCATCATTCAGATGTCAGTTCAAATGCTACATCCTCCTCAGAAAGCCTCTCCTGTCCATTTTATCAGCTACATCGTCCAGACCTTTCTTGGTCCATTATTGTATTATTTTGTTCTTAACACTTGCCACTTTCTGAAATTATCTTATTAATCTATTTCTGTATTGTCATATTTTCTTTATTGAATATAAGTGCTGTGAGAACACAAGATATTTCTGCCATTGTCACTGTTGTAAGTACAAAGAAAAATCTCTGGCAAATAGAAAAAAATATAGTAAATCTTTGTGGAAGATCCATATAAAGGAGCAAGTGAAGAAACAGGTGCATTTAAAACATATATATTTGTCCATCCTCTTGTTGTTTCACTTTGCCATTTACCAAAGTTATTTTTGAAGCATAAGTGAGCAATGCCAAGAACGTACAAGAAAGGGAGGGGTGTTGTTAACACTCAGGCTGTTGGGTGGAAAGGAGAGACTGTGGACGAGATGGAGCCACTGAACAGAGCCTTTGTCTGGCTCATCTCTGCGTAAAAATGCTCAGTCCAGAACTCCCCAGTTCTCACACTAAGAGTGGATTCATGCATGGACTAATGATCTCACTGACTCTTTCTCTTTAGTAAGAAGTGGTTTGGGTGCTTCTGAAAACCATTGTCTCAATCTGGCCGGCATTTGCAGAAGAGACAGCTGCAAAATAATCGAGGATACAATTGGTGGCTGCCGAAGACGGTGGAAATGCTGCAGAGCGTGGTGGGTCCTGATCCCAATCCCCACACCACTTGTGTATTCAGAGTACCAATACCCCGTTGGTCCTAGACTGAAATGAAATGAGGAAAAGAAAGCATCCAAAGGGAAATTCTTTGCAACTAAAAACATTCGAATATATATATCTTGATTCATTCCAACTTTTATTATCTTGTGTCAATAAAAACGAATAAATATTGATTTAAAATCTACCCAGATGCTACTTCTTTGGACTCATTTTCAGATCCAAACATTATCTTTAAAACTGAGAAAGCCCATTTATTAAACAATAAACATGCTTTTTAAATTTGTCATTGAAAGACCATAAGGTTGTCAAAGAAGTTACAAAGGTGAAAATATCATTACGCAAAACATAATTAAATAGACACACAGAGAAAATGCAAAGGCAAAATACAGAGGAAATCTAGAAAATACCAGGGAAGGGAAGATGTAGGTAAGGCAAGGGAGGAAATTGGAAGAGGACAAGAGGAATAACGGGATGATACAGAAAGATGGCAAATGTGTAGCAGATACTGGAAAGAGATGAAAACAAGGAGGAAGAGAGAATGAGAGGTTGAAGACCAACAGAAACGCATATTAACTTCTCTAAAGGATAAAACCTCAATAATCATTTAAGTTCTCAATGTTTTATTCCTCTAGACACATCCTTCTGGAACATTTCACTGTAACAACATATTGGCGTCTTTGAAGTATACGCTGTCAATACGTCTTTCAAATAGTCGTTTGATGCTTCATAACTTCTGACTTCAAGTCTTTCGTGTCCAAAGGTCTCACTTTCCTTTCCTGATGTCATAGCCCTCAAAGTAGATCTGAAGAGTTTTAGTTGTCACTTATGTATTAAATTTTAACAATTAGATAAAGGTAGTGAGGACTCACATTTTTTCTTCCTATAATTCAATATTTATGAAGCCTTTATTTTTTAATTCTCAGAGTGTGAACATTTTCTACAGAATTTGATACAGTCTTGACTAGGGTTAGGGCAAGATTGACCTTAAAACAGTGAAACTAGGCTGTAGGTCAGGAACTAAGTGTATGAATGCTGAGAGACCTCCTTCACCTTCTTCACTCTCTGGGAATACCAGGGACTATTCATGTTATTGATAACGTCATGGTTTTATGGTTTGGGTATTTCAAAAAAAATTGTCTATTTGCCCGGCCGGTGTGGCTCAGTGGTTGAGCATTGACCCCTGCACCAAGAGTTCACTGGTTCGATTCCCGGTCAGGGCGCATGCCCGGGTTGTGGGCCTGATCCCAGTGGGGGGCATGCAGGAGGTGGCCAGTCAATGTTCTCTCTCATCAATGTTTCTCTCTCTCTCCTTTTTCTTCTTCTCTCTCTAAAAATTAGTAAAGAAAACACTGTTTAAAAATTTGTCTATTTAAAATAAGGTGTATTTGTTGTTATAAGAAGTTTAGGAGTGCTATCAAAGTTGTATTCTATCAGTTTAAAATAAAGTGCTATACTTTTAATATATATTATGTAAACCTCATGGTAACCACAGGGTATATAACATGATTTCAAAGCATACCAACATGAAAAGACACCACACTATAAAGGGAGACAAGACAATATACCAAGAATAATGGACCCACAAAATCGTCAGAAAATTAACAAAATGGCAATAGTAAGTCTTTCCTTTTCATTAATTATTTTAACATAAATTGATTAAATTCTGCAATCAAAATATGCAGAATGGCAGAATGAATTAAAAAAAATAGGATCCAACAATATACTGCCTACAAAAGACTCACTCTGACTTTAAAGACATAGAGTGAAGAAATGGAAAAAGATACTTCAAGCAAATAGTAACCAAAATAAAGGGTAGCTATTCTTTAAGTCAAACAAAATAGACATTAAACTAAATACGGTTAAAAGAGACAAAGAAAGTTACTATATAATAATAAAGGGGTCAATCCATCAATAAGATATTAAAAAAGGAAAATATTTAAGTACCAAAAACAGAGCACATGTATATATAAAGCAAATACTCATAGAACTAACAGCAATAATAAACATCCATCCAAGTAGTTTGGATCTTTAATGCCCCACTCTAACAACAGATAGATCATCCAGATGTGAAAACAGCAGATGTGAACAGCACTATGTACCAGGTGAACCTAACAAATGTATTTAGAACATTCTATCTGACAACAGAAGAATCCATATTCTTCTCAAGTATACATGAAACATTTTCTAGCATAGACCATATTTTAAGCCACAGAAAAAAGTATCAGCAAATGTAAGAAGATTGCAATCATATCAAGTTTCTTCTTTGACCACAATGGCATGAAAAAAGAAATCAACAGCAGAAGGAAAATTTTAAAAAAACTCATAAATATGTAAATATTATGCAATACTCTCTTGAACAGCCAATGGATCAAAGAAGAGATTAGTTAGAAAACATCAAAATGATGAAAAGTCATCAAATTAGAAGACATAAAAGTAGATACATTTTTTTTCAAAAATAGCTGATATCACATATGAAAGCTTGTAAGTGAAAAAAAAAAAAGAATATATATGAATGTTTCATTAAGCTATTGATCGGTAGAAAAATTAGCATTGATGACTTGGTTTTAGGTCAATCGATAGTTGATCAAAGGCATTTCTTAAGCTTTCAATACTTTGTGTCTACATGGATGGAGTCTCTTTAAGCTGTAGACATACAGTCTTCAACCTCGGAGGGAAGGAAGAAAAGGGAGCAGGAAGGGGTTAACCAAAGAACTTATATGTATACATGCATTACCCATGGACACCGACAATACATAGGGTGGTGAAGGCCTGGAGCGGGACGGGAACTGGGAGGATGGGACAATGGGGGCAAAAGAGGAAGGACATCTATAATACTCTCAACAATAAAGATTTAAAAAATAAATGAATAAAAACAAAACACACACAGACCAATTCTATTTTTCAATTACACTTGACTAGACACAGTCTTTTGACAACAGATAGCTATTAAGGAAATATTGTGGTCTTTAACTCTGATATTTTAACTCTTCAATCACACCATACTTGTTGTGTGGGACAGGTGCACAGAGGATTTTTTTTTTTTATCCTCCCCCAGAGGACATTTTTTTTTCTTTCGATATTTTGTTCAGATAGAGTGGGAGGGGGAGAGAGAGGAAGAGAGAGAGAGAGAAACATCGACGTGAAAGGGACATATCGAGTGGTTGCTACCCTCACGATCCAACCAGGGCCGGGGACAAACTGCAGCCAAGGTACGTGCCCTTAGCGGGAACCGAACCCGGTCTCTCTGGACCGCAGGCCGACGCTCTAACCGCTGAGCCAAACTGGCCAGGGCCAGAGGCTTGATAACAGGTGAGACAATGTTAGTTTTCATATGAACTAAGTGTACCTTTCCGATGATATTAAGAACATCGCACACATATATAAGTGGTCTCTCTTTTAAGGAATAATTTAAAAATTGAGCTTTGTTTTATTTTATTTATTTATTTATTTTTTTTAAGTAATCCTGGGGCAATTCTCTTATCCCTCGTGTGGAAACGAGGGTGTTGTGGAAAAGCCCCCTTGCAAGTGAGAGGACTTTGGTAAGAAGGACTTCACCCTCGAAACCCTCCTTCCTGGTCCCTTTTAAAAGGTGACTAGCCAAAGGTACCAGCCTCAGGAATTTGGAAGTCCATAGAAAAAGTGAAAAGTTAGTCATCTGGTTTCCTCTAATTAGGTTAATTTGTCACCAAATTTAGGGACTTCACAGTTTGGAGATATTCCAACGGAAGCTGTTTTATTTTCTCACTTGTCAAGCTTCACTGACCAAGAGGAAGGTCAGCCCCCCCCCAGGAATTGATAAAAGGCCCTGGGCTCCACTATCACTGATCACTCCCCTCTCTACTGGGCATTCAACCATGAGACTCCACTCCCTCCTCTCTGTGCTCCTCTTCTTTGTGACTGTGATACCAAAAGGTAAGATGGTGAGTAATCATAGAGCTAGGTTTCTCAGGAGGCCTCTGGGATGCTCAGTTCTACGGTGGTCATCTTCACTCAGACCCTAGAGCATAGCTTGTAGGAATTCAGAATTGCCATTTGCTCACCTCCCTTCGAACTGATGAGGACAACACTGCCCAGCAGGACAAAGATCTCCATCAACGGAAAACAGGACCCGAGAGTTCCATGATTAGAAGATTCAGCCCTAGTTGAGAGAGGGGTAACGAAACGTGACCTGTGACTTGAGGGTTAGCATACAAATCAAGGAGCTGGTGCCAGGGCCCCAGTCCTTCAGAAGGAGTGAAAATAGCCGCTGTTGGTTCAGACTTGGATAGTGGGTGGAACAGGTAGAGTCTATCGGTGAGGAATCCGTGTGCAGGGTGGAAGTTAGGTGCCTAAGACAGAGCTCAACAAAAGAGGATCGTGTCAAATTATAAAACACCAAGAGAGACCCGGGGAATTTGGAAAAAGCATAAACAGAGGGATAAAGCTTCAATGACCAAATTTTAGGCAAAAGGCAAAATATGCAAGAAATAATTTAAGAATCTGATGCCCAGCTGGTGGGGCTTAGTGGACTGAGGGTCGTCCCATGGGCTGAGAGGTCCCTGTCCAATTCCTGGCACATGCCTGGGTTGCCAGCTCAATCCCCAGCAGGGGGCGTGCAGGAGGCAGCCAATAGCTGTATCTCTCTCACATCGTTGTTTCTATCTCTCCCTTCCTCTCTCTATAGAAAATCAATTAAAAAAAACATATTAAAAAAAAAAAAAAAAGGAATCTGAGTTATATCCTTAGTACCCACGCTTCAGAAGTTTGAATAGTACCATGTAGAACGCAAGGAAAAAGGGATCGTGGTCACCTTCCGATTGGTTCGTCCAGGTTTTTGTTAGCATGGCTGATAGTGAGTATTTTTCGCTCATGCCTGCCCTCCGCTATCTGTGTCCAGTTCAGCTCGGTATCCATGACTGTCTCCATCCAAAGCCAAAGCCCGTGTTATGAGCCTGGTCTTTTCTTAAAAAAGGTTAAGGAGGGAGAGAACTTCCGGCAGAAGTGAGGCCTAGCAAATCCGGCCTCAGAGCAGGAAGAGGCACATGGTCCAGGCTCAGGTGGAGAGGAAACTGGGGCAGAGGGGTTGTTGTAGGGCAAAGGCCAGAAGTAACTGATGGGGAAGGGGAGCCTGGGACACCCAGGCCTAAGCTAGTCCGCCGTGACGGACGGACACCCACCAAGAGAAGAACCGCCTGAGCGCAGCGAGTCCCACCTGGGCTGAAGGCAAAGGTTTTAGGAGGAATGAGAGAGAAACGTGTGTGGGGTCAGAGCCCTTCACTGCTTTCAACAGCAACACCTACTTATCGAGCCCCTGCTATTTCACAAGGACGGTGTCAGACCCCAGGGTACGACGGGAAACAGAAGCAAGTGACTTCCCATGATACAGAAGACGGAGGTTTGTCAAGCGATGACACAGATTCAGATCGAACTGTGGATTTTGAACGAGCACGGAGGAGGGACAGTGTCTCACGTGGGCCTCGTCTGTCTGCAAGGCTGGAGAAGACTTCCTGGAGGCAAGTCTTCTGAGTGCAAAGCTGAAGTGTAGTGTGTGTGAGTCCCTTGCAAGAAGGAGGCTGTGAGCTCAGGGGCTGCAGGAGGGGCTCGGTCTGAGAGCGCCAGTTTGCCAGTTTGCAGAAAGCATGCCAAGCCTTTGATGAAATGAAGCCAACGTAAAAGGCGGATGGCACCAATGCCGAGTGGGGAGGGGCACTTACAGGGCACGCAGGGAAGGCAGGCTTTGCCCTGGGCAGGGTGACAGTAATCACTGGACTAGATCACGCAGGGGTCTTGGTTGATGCACACGACCTAGGATCGTCTGTGGACTCCAGGCAGCCCCCCAGCCTGAGGGGTGGGTGCCCTTGCTGGGTCTTGCCCTTTGGTCCACTGCTCCCAATGTTCTTTCCTCAGTCTCTCTCCCTGGCTCCACCACAGGGGTTTCAGATCTGCAGTAGCCTCCTTCTTTCCTCATCTCGAGATGGTCCCCTTTTGAGGTCAGCACACAGGATTCAGCCTGAGAAACCATCAGCAACCATGTGAAAACAGAGGGGATAAAGAATACTCATGAGGAATTAGGAAGTCACAATTCCTACTTTTTCAATCTGGTAACTAGTGATCTCAGAGTGAAGACACCTGCTCCGGCTCTGCGTGGACCCGGAGCCATGAGCATGTCTGCACTTGAAAGCATGTACCTTCCTGACCCTTGGCTACCCTGTGCTCCTCCACCTGTCACCCGACGAGGCTACTTCTCCTTACTCTCAAGGTTCCTGCCCTAGGACGATCCATGCCAGTAGGACCCCACAGTGAAAGACAGAATCAGCCCAGGCGGTGTGGCGCGTGTGGCCCTGACGGTGTGAAGGACTTGGACCTTGCAGGCAGAAACCTTCGAGACCAATGATCACAGACGTGACGCTGGTGGCCAGGAGCACGACATCGTGAACTGGGGAGGACACGATGCTGAGTGAACGGAGCCAGTCACAGAAGACGAACACTGCAGGACTCCACTGACATGAGCCATCTAAACCAGACTCAGAAACGCAGAGCAGCATGGTGGTTGCCAGGGGCTGGGGGTGGAGAGATGGGGAGCTGCTGCTCGGCGGGCAGAGTTTCATCCACACGAGATGACCTTCCGGGCAGCACTGAGCTATCCGGACCCCGCGCACTCAGATGTGAGAGCAGGTGACCTCGGGTGTGGTGTCCTCACCATGGTATAAACAGTGAAGAGCAGGGGGTTGTCTGGAGCAGAGCGAGTCTCCCCACGAACGTGACAGGGATCCTTCAGAGGTTGCCTGGCCAGCCACGATGTCCCCTTCTGCCAGGACAGTCACGCTCAGCCTGGGTTCGTCCCTCCCGAGTCTCCTTCCAGGAGGACAGTGAAGGCGAGTGTGCCACAGGAGGGCGAGGACAGAATGACATGCAGGTGGGTTACCAGGAGGGCTCAGAAGCAGACTTCGGTCCCGAACACGGACAGAGTTACTCCGAGATGGGGTGCCCACCGAGGTCCACAGGGGAGAGAATGAACCCCGCCTGCGCTCGAGCCGGGAGGAAGGGTGCCGAGGCGAGAGGAACGGACTGCACTGGAGCCCTGGGGATACGTTTGAGGAAACACTTTTCAGCTCCCCGGAAAGTCCCCCCGCGGATCTCCATGTAAGGGTGTTGAGCGGCACAGAAAGTGCGTTTCTGGCAGTCCTGAACCGGGGAAGTCAGGGAGGGAGCAAAGGGAAGGATTCATAGCCTGACTTAAAAGGGGATGAGAAAGTTGTTCCAGGAAATGTCAACAGGTGGGAGATTTAACAACCCTGTGCTTGACCCACTGCACACCATGGACACGTGTCCCCTCACAACAAACCGCCCCGCGCGTCTCAAAAGGTGCGTCCAGCGGACGACCGCCCTGTGCAGCGTCCAGTGTCCAGAGGTGGCCTGCTCCCTGCACGTGGCTTTGCACCTTTTCTGCCTCTGTGCCTGGTCTCTCCACGGAGGTAAACTCACCTCTGCACCCCAGAGGCGGTTTTCTGTGAACACACTCCGACCAGACTGCGACGGCGACTTACCGGTGTTGCCCCCTCTCTCCCTGACAGCCAGCGCGGGCATGGTCCCGGGGAAGAAGCAGTGCGTCCTCCTGAACGGCGTGTGCAAGCTGGGCGGCTGCAGCACCTCGGACGACACCATAGGGGTGTGCAGCGATGACAAGAAATGCTGTCGAAGCTGGTGGGTGCTGTACCCCTACCCGACGCCGGTTCCCAAGTCGAAGTCTCCTTGACGGCAGCAGACAGTGAGGCCTTCGGCCTCCGGGGGGCGCGGATGCGGTTTGCAGACCCGGGTCCGAGCCACCTGTGTCTCCTCCCGCGACGGGAATAAACGTCCCGAGTCCCCGTCCTGGGCCCCGAGGGATTTCTTCCGGGCGCACGTGCGAAGCCTCTTGCCCATGAGACTCCACGAAATAATAGAGGAACCGCATCCCCTAAAGATCTTTGTACAAATGCGACGTTTAAAAGAAAATAAAGATAAAGATAACATTTTAAATATGTAAAGTAATACGGGTGTGAATTGATGAATTGATGGTCTGAAGTGGACGAGCAGCCCTCCTCGCCTGGTTCTGGGCATAGATGGTTTCAGGCTGCCCGGTGGATGTGAGGAGGGGAGCCCACCCAGGCTCCCCGACGTTGCCCTGAGGCTGGTGGCCCCTCCAGCTCCCTCTGGCGGCGGAGGAGCGGAGCAGCCCCGCCCCGCCCCCAGGCTCCCTGCAGCAGCCCAGGGCCAGGAGCTGGCTCAGCTCACCCTGCAGGTCTTTCTAAATTCACGCCCACAGAGCTCCCCGTCAGAGTCAGAGCAGTTTCCAACAGAAGAATAATTCTGGATCGTTTCCGCTTTGTGCCTAAGAAAATGAAAAGGCAAGAAAGAGGACCAGGATGTCACATGACATGAGTCCCACTGAGATGGAAAGACTCTTGAATGAGGGCTCACAGTAAAAATTCAAGGGTTTCTGCTTCTGAGCCATAAAGCCCATGGTCAGCCCGAGGAAGGTGGGTGACCCCACCTTCTGCTATTCTTTAGAACGCACGTCCTGTTAGAGTTGTCCACAGACATCCACTTGGTGGACACAGAGGCCGCCTTCGTCCACACCCGTCTGGCAGGGCCACAGTCTCCTGACCCACTGTGGGTGATGAAACAGGTGCTCAGTCAGTCATACCTAAGGTAAAATGGCCCTTCTTTTGCCTACCAGTCATGTCACCTTAAACTATTTACTTAACCTTCATTGGCCTGAAAACGCTCCTGCGAGAAATGAGCACAGCAAACGACCCCTAGAGACAGGGAGACCCATTGCAGTTTCTCCAGGCCTTTGCTGTGACTATTCATTCCCAACCAGGGCCGCCAGAGAAAACACGGGATGCCTAGTTAAATAAATAAAGTCCAGATACACCATGGATGTTTTTCGTACAGACATGTACACTACTTGGCACCTATGTACACTAAATGTTGCTCATTGTATCTGAAACCCAATGGAACGGAGTGTCCTGTATTTTCACTTGCTAAAGCTGCCAGCCCTATTTCAAAGCCACCTTTGGGGGGCGGGTTCCAGAAACTCCCTCTGCTCACACAGAAGGCTTCCTGCCCACCATGCGGGAACCCATCTCTTCCTCAGTCGCTCCCTCCTACGGTTTGGTCGAATGTCTCACGCACTGCCCGTCTCTGTCCACGATAACAGGGCTGCCTGGCTCCCATCACCAGCCTTGGGAGAATTGTCATGAGTTGCACACGCAGGTCAGTGGATGTTTGCAGAACCTGCCAGTCCTGTAACCACCGTGAGCCCGTGATGCACTGTCCTCCGTGGGCTGTGCCCCATTTTCATGTCTCCTTGGCCGAAATTCCATTTGGGCCGTATGAGTGCCACTTACAGAGCAATTTCCAGGCTCCGACCCTGGGCTCCAATGTGCTCCCTCTGCTCATTTTAAATAATCTCGTTTCCACAGCAGCCGCCAGTGCTGCTGTGCCGAGCTGCTGAGCGGATTGTGCAGCAATGCTTACAAATTCGAACAAATTACCTGCCTTCTTCCATGGCATTTTCGTCTGGCTGTTAACATTTGTCCAAATCAAGATGTGTGCACCCTGTACATCTAAGTCTGAGCTCTTCCCAAGAAATCAGAGTTCCCTTCAGGGGGTTCCTACATTGACAATGGATGGGTTAGGGCTAGGATTAGGGTTAGGGTTAGGGTTAGGGTTAGCGCTAGGGTTAGGGTTAGGGCTAGGGTTAGGGTTGGGCTAGGGTTAGGGTTAGGGCTAGGGCTAGGGCTAGGGTTAAGGTTAAGGTTAGGGTTAGGGCTAGGGTTAGGGTTAGTGTTAGGGTTAGGGTTAGGGCTAGGGTTAGGGTTAGGGTTAGGGTTAGGGCTAGGGTTAGGGCTAGGGTTAAGGTTAGGGTTAGGGTTAGGGCTAGGGTTAGGATTAGGTCTAAGGTTAGTGCTAGGGTTACATTACAGCTTCTGTTCCCTGTGGTCGCCGCCACCATTCTACAAATCCTCAAGCTTCTTTTCGGTTGGAATGATCTGGTCCTTGTTCAGCAGAATGTCATGAGGAAGGTTAAGTGTTACCAAGACTTAGAATTATAATTGTAAATTGAAATCTAGTTGCATCTTCCATTAATGTAATGTGGGTTTATTCCAAGAATTTTGGTTTATTTTAATGATATAAGATTCTTAATAGTGTCTTCAGGAGGCTTTGTCATTTGCAATGAAATCATTCTTTGAAAATGCACATCCCCAACCATGAATAATGTCCATTTCCGTTTACTGAATTTTTGAATGATACTAGGGTTGCTGCCTTTTTAGTGTTTTAAGAGAGATTCCCAAGAAAACTGGACATAATTTTCATTCAACAAGTATGATTTTTCCCTATATTGCCTGTGCAAGAAGTACCATTATGTTGGGTAATTATAACCCTCATCGCTTCCTGTTGAACAGTACTAAGGTCCATGGTGGTAGTTCTGATATTATTATTAATGACATACCTCTTGAAAACATTGAACTTTCTAAACATCCTTTTGCGGGAAGACACCAAGACCCTAGGCTGATAAAGGTATTGCCTAAGGATTTAGGCTGGATGATAAGTACTTAAGGTGGATGATAAAACACAGAAAAAACAAAGAAGGCCTTGGCCAGTTTGGCTCAGCGGTTAGAGCATTGGTTTGCGGACCACAGAGTCTTGGGTTTGATTCTGGTCAAGGGCATGTCCCAAGGCTGCGGTTAGGTCCCCGGCCCCAGTTGGAATCGTGCGGGAGGCAACCAATCGATGTGTCTTTCTCACATCGATGTTTCTCTCTCTCTCCCTCCTCCACTCTATCTGAAGATAAATGGAAAAATATCCTCAGATGAGGATAAAAGAAAAAACCATGGAGCAACGCAGAATGCGCAGCAAGGCAGAGGCATAAGAGGGGGCGACCAGAGGGTAAAATGATAAAAATAGACATAAGGTACATGCACAAAGCTATCAAGCAGTGTTTGTCACGATGGGAAATGTTGAGAGCGGTAACCTAAGGGCAGAAGGAGCTGCCTGCGGAGGAGGGCTGGGCGGGGCAAAGGGATGCTGAGGGGAGGAGGGCTGGGCGGGGCAAAGGGATGCTGAGGGGAGGAGGGCTGGGCGGGGCAAAGGGATGCTGAGGGGAGGGCTGCCTGCAGGCATCTTCTCTCCCAGGTGCCTTCTCCTGCCAGCAGCACCCCGCGCCCCCCCACCCCCGCCCGAGACCGTCCTGACCGGGCCCCAGGAGAGTGGGAGCTGAGAGGACCCCGGCTCTAGGTGAACAGGAGCCTGGTCCCCAGCGCCCCAGGCACCCTCGCGTGCACTCTGCCCTCTGCCCTCCGCCCTCCGCTCCCTGCACCTGCCTCCCCCACTGTCAGAGGGCACTGCCCTGGCCCCTGGCTCCCGGGAAGGCTGGTGGTGAGGAAGGAAGCAGGGTACCTGGAGCGCGGCCAGACCCCGAACTGAGGCCCTGGCAGCAGCCTCCAGGGGACGGGCAGGTGGCCTCAGCAGGGCAGCCTCGGGGCCTGGTGACCTGCAGCTTTGGCGGTGAGGAGCTGGGGGTGATCTTGGCTGACCTTGGGCGGGGCTGGCCGGGCTGGGCCAGACCCCAGGCTGTGGCTCCGCCCTGAGCCTCACACAGATGGGCCCACTGAGGTCTGCAGTGCTGGGCTCCGGGTCCGAGCAAAATCCCTCGAGGCCGGTCCTGCAGACCCCGGGGCATCCGGGACCCGGAGCTCCCAGCCCGGCCCGGGGCCTGGAGCTGCCTGTGCGGCCGGCGCCCCCACGCGGCGGTTCCCGGCACTGCACCTTCAGCACCTGGCTTCCCAGGACCCTGGGCCAGAACCCACACCGCCCCTGTCCCTTAGCCCTGTCATCCTCCTGTTAACTGTGGCAACGAAAAGGACCTCGCTTGTAAAAATAAAAAAAATAAAAAAGCAAGAACAAAACCGGGTGGCTTATTTCTCACAGCTCTGGAGGCTGGAAATCCAAGATCAGGTGCAGGTGACCATGTGTCTGGTGAGGGCTCTTCCTAGTACGTCGATGGCCATCCTTTCATCATAGGTCCCCGCGTGGCGACGGATCAGCTCTAACTGCAGGTCTCTTCCTGTAAGGACACGACTCCTGTTCCCCGGAGCGGTGGTGACAGTGAGCGAATCCACAGTCCGGGGGCTGGGCTTGCAGACCAGGAGCCGGGAAGGGATGGTGACCTCTAGGAGGGGAGTTCACAGCGTCTGAAGACAGAGCTCAGGACATAATAAAAAGTTTCAACGGACATTTCAAGACCGTTTGTGAGCAGTAAATGCAAGAAAGGGGTGGATCAACGTCACTCTGAGCACCTCCAGGCGGCATTTGGGGGCCCGCTCAGCAGGGCCGACAGCCCGGGCTGCATGCGTGTTGCCGGCACCCTCTGTTCTGTCTGCCTCCGGAAACACGCCCGTGGCCCTCCCCACACCAGCGAACTGTCCTGGAACCGTGTTTCCCTTTACCCCCATGCCCGAGCCCTAGCAAGTCATTTGAACTATCTTTGCACCCCATCTGTGAGTACAAATCATAGGGATCAAACATTAACAGCTAATTAAGCAGTTAAGCTTCTAAATAGAAGCGTACAGTCCGGCTGACACTTTCAACAGGAAGGAGGCTACGTGCATTGATCTCACACATTTTTCACGAGTCCTGTGACAGTCACACCTGACAGAGCTGTGATCAGGAAATAAACTGTTTACCAAAGAAGACAATTGCGTGTCTGCT